ATTAAGAAATAATACTTAGCATCAATCAAAAGTAACAAGAGTGACACTTCAATATCGTGTATAAAAATTTCAAGGAACTTACTTTCTATACTAGGGTGTGGCGTGTGGGCGTGGGTGGGTGTAGGTCTTGTCTAGAAATAAACTGACCCACACAAACTTCCATCCATCCCCACCCAACCAGCCACATCTCATCCAACCACCCACGCCCTATACATCCAAATCTCCATTCTCATTCACTCACACTTCACACTCTCGGTACTTTAAAAATCGTCATCTACTTTTTTCGACATTTCTATATTCGACATTGTTATTGTTCGATTTTTTACTTTTCACGTTTCTCGCGTTCGCCACTTTTCTGGGTGTTTTTTTTTCGACATTTTATTTTCGGTAAAAGTAGAGTCTACCATTTACTTTTATGATTCGAGTCTGTTTTGTGTGGTATTAGAAAATGTAAATGACTAGTGAATAAAAGATTTTTTTCGGCAATTATTTATTTTTGAGAGTTAATTAAAATGTTGTTATCAAAATGTTTAGACCATTTGAAAAAAAAGGGTATCAGTGTGGGTGTAGGTGTGTGTGGATGCGGGTGTGAGTGTGTAATTATCCATATAGGTCACATTTGCATCCACATCTACTTATACTCACGCTCTTTGGCTGACATCCTTGATTGTTTTTGACAAAAATTGTCTAATTCCGTCCTCGTACACATAGTGCCAACATGACACTGATACTGCTGTCCGCGCTATTCACCACGATAATTTCTGGGGTAGTTTCTCCATTGATATCCACAACGGACACACAGGTTGGATTACCACCGGTGGCATACGTTGTTTGAGTGACGAATGTGCAAGGGGGGAAAAGCGGATCCCGTCCGTCCGGGATACGGAGACAATACAGAGAATCCAGAGGATACGGTGGGGATACGTAGGATACCACCACAATCCAGAGGATACGGAGGATACAACGGCAATCCAGAGGATACGGAGGATACAACGGCAATCCGAAGGACACGATTTGTAATTCATAGGATACGTACAACAATATGCAGATAAAACTTGATTTAATGAAGAAAATACGAAATTCACATCATTTATCAATAGAGATGAATATTGGATTAGCTCTAGTAATGTTTTTATATAAATGTCAACATTTTTTAAGTTTCTTTCCGTAATCTTAGGTTACAGACACTATCTGATGCACTGGAACCGATTTAAATTAAAAAATAAAGTTATTTAAGTAGTGTGATGTTGCTTTCTTTATATTCTAACATTCAATCTATATATTCAATACAGACGGACGAGTTGAATGTTAGAGAACGAGAAAAATAACAATTTCTATCTTTCTTTCTCATTAACAATTTCTTCGTTACATATCATCCTATCAAACTGTTGTAACATCTTATTTCTATTTTTTTCGACCATGCCACCAACAACATTGCACATGGACATTACAGGCCTTCCTCCAGACGTAATATCATTATATGATGAATCTTTCTATGAATTAGCTCGTAAACTAGCTGGTCCCATAGAAGCCGACTTACTTGAACTACAAGGAATTCGTAGTGCTTATTCATTGATTCATACTGAAGACATATTTGATATTTTGAAGTATGAATGCAAAGCATTAGATCAAATTAAAAAAAGGCTTGCCTTCTATTGGACGATAATCGATACATCATCAAACCTGGGTGTAAAAGTAATTTACGTTATTTCACTCAATTGCTCAATGTTAAAAATCAAGAGCACTTGAAAACAATTGCACTTCGAATGAAATTAAAGCAAACGTCAAACGATGATAATAATAATAATAATAATACATTAGCATCTCAATCATCAGCACAAGTTCTACCTACGTCTTCACCATTATCACCAACTACGGCAACAGAAACACCAGGTTTGTATATGCAAATATTTGGTGTAATAATTTATCCAATTTTAGTCACAA